CGGTGCCCGCGGGGAGTGTCCTGAGCCCGGGAGGCGAGTCCCCAGCCCGGGGCTTCGGGTCGGGGTGTAGCCTGGGAGCTGTGTGTCTCCCTGGCACCAGCCCGGTGCAGGGACGCGCTCCCCTGCAGCTGTCGGGGGGCGGGCCGTGTGCAGGTGTGCATCCCCGGCGGCGGTTCGTGGCTGTTAAAATGCAGGCTTTCACACACCTGCCGACCCGGCTCATGGTCAGTTGTGCTAAGAACACGGTGGCTGCCTCCGTGCGTGCTTCCCAGCAGCTTTTCACTTTCTGGGGAATTAGGCTAAGCCTGGCTTCCTAATGAATTGTTTCTTGCGAATTGTAGTAAGAAAACGACAACCCGCAGGCGTCTTGAGCATGAACGCTGCTCAACTTGTCTTGTGATAGTGACCACCTTCATCAGCTGGGCAGTCTTGGGGGAAATGTCAAGGGCTTTGGTCTTGACTGTTCTGAATCAGCTGGGCTTTGAACAGGAGGTAAGATAATCCAAGGAAATGCCCCTCTCAGGCGACCATGAACAATGGCCAGACGTCACTGTGGAAGGGAAAGGAGGCTCCAGTCGGTGTGGAGTGAGAAGCCTGTGCGTTAGTCTCTGCAACCAGGTGAGGGGCCTGGGAGAGGGCATCTACTCTGCTGCTGCTGCCTGTAGTGAAGGCAGAGCCGGAGTCCCCTGAGGAACTTGTGATGGAAGGAGCTGGGGAGGGAGTTCTTTGATGCTGCAGAGCAGTGGTTCTCAACCTTCCTGATGCCGCGACCCTTTAATACAGTTCCTCATGTTGTGGTGACCCCCAACCATAACATTATTTTTGTTGCTACTTCATAACTGTAATTTTGCTACTGTTATGAATCGTAATGTAAATATCTGATATGCAGGATGTATTTTCATTGTTACAAATTGAACATAATTAAAGCATAGTGATTAATCACAAAAACAACATGTAATTATATATGTGTTTTCCGATGGTCTTAGGCGACCCCTGTGAAAGGGTCATTCGACCCCCAAAGGGTCGCGACCCACAGGTTGAGAACCGCTGCTCTATACAGACAGTCCTCGGGTTATGTCAGACTCAACGAACGTTGTTTCGTGGTTACGTCGCCATCTCCCATTTATTTAAAAAAAAGTTTCATCATTTCAACGTATGTACATATGTGCTTTATGTTTTTTATTATTTATTTACCACCAGTAAAGGTCAGGAATTGTTATCTTTCTTTTAAATTTTTTTTTACTGTTTCACTTCATTACTGCTGTGTATGTGCTCCATGTGAGTGACACAGGTGCTTATGTAGGTGGGTTCCGACTGACGGCGAAAATCAAATTACGTTGAGCCGTAGGAACGGATCTCCGACATCACCCGAGGACCTACTGTACTGCATTTCCTTCATTTCCTCTAGCCTGGTATCCCATCCTGTTGGCTCTTATCTCCTTCCGTATCTGTCACACCCACCCGTCTTGCCTGCACTCTCCCTTCTCCGTCTATCAAGTCGTCATCCTCCCTCCTGACTCACCGCCCTGGGAGTATCGAAATAGCCTCTAGTTACATCCCACTCCAGCCCAGCCTCCATGCTGCCAGTCATCTCTCTAACATGAAAATACGGTCACGAGGTTCCTCGGCCAGGACTGTGCCGGCTCCCCGTCACCAGCAGAGCCCCGCACGGTCTGCGTCCTTTCCCATTGGCTGCACACTCCTGGCTCCTGAGATCCGGCTCCGTTCCCTCCAGACCCTCCAGGTCTCCGTCCAATTCCTGTCCCCTCCGTGGGACTTTTCATAACTTTCCGAGACAGACGCGCCCCTCTTTCATCATTTTGGGGCATATTTCTATTATAACCTCGATATTGTACTGTAGTCATTTTTATGCAAACATAACTGATGGAGCAGCCCCCACCTCCACTCTTAAAAAAATAATTTGAACTGTGGCTTGTAGACGCACCCTCTCTGCCTCCCTCACTGGGAGATTACGGAAGAATGAATGCCCGCGCAGTCCACCCTGCTCAGGGGTTTGACTAAACCCTGACTGTACACTTTTTTAATCATATCATTTCACACCTTCTGCCAGTTCTTGGCATGTCTAAGTGTCGGGTTTTAAGTGATGGATGTGTCATAGGTCACAAGTAGAGCGTCAGGAGGTGAATCTGAAGCAAACATGGAGAAGAAAAGGAACATTGTCCTGCATATTAGGACAGAAATAGGCATTTTTAAATACATTTAAAACCTATGTTGTGACATTCCAAACTGCAAGGGTGCCAGGAAACATTGTAGTTAGGAACGACACAACATAGTTATTTCTGGATGGACCCACATTTACAAAGAAGGATCTCTGTATATCACACTGGCATAAGATCATACAAGGGGATGGGCTTGGCAGGCCAAAGACGGCCTAATGCCATGGCAGTGTGCCCAGTGATTAGAGCGGCGGCCCACACACCAAAGGGTCATGGGTTCGATTCCCCGTTAAGGGCACATACATGGGTTGCAGGTTCACTCCCTGCCCCCGGTCGATGTGTCTCTCTCACATCAGTGGTTCTCTCTCTCCCTCCCTTCCACTCTCTCTGAAAAAAGAAATGGAAAAGAATATCCTCTGATGAGGGTTTTTAAAGAAAAGGACCCCCTCATTGTTCAGCTGAGGCCTAGCCAGCGTTTGCATCACCTGCACCATCACACTGATGCACCTGTTACCACTCTTCTGGAGCGAAGGTAACTCAGACTCCGGGAAGTGATGAGTAGCAGGTGCAGTGATGAGTAATTCCAGGAGGCAATCCCCAGCTCCAGGCGTGGTGCGCCGGGACTGAGCTGGACGGGGTGGAGCGACCCACGGCTGGAGAAGCAGCCGCCGAATGGCTGACTCGGAT